TGTGAAACAAGTGATGGTGTTTGTTAGGTGGTGACTTCGTGCAAGAGGAAGTGGGAACGAACATACTTAGGGAGAGAGAGATGATAGTTTTCTTTGTAGTCAGAAATATGGACACTTGCGATTGTTTAAGGAACTTGCAAAAGAATAAGGCACCTTTGTTGTGGTGATAGCTTGTTGTTTGGGGGGCTACAATGCACTTCCTTCTTTTATGCCCTTATTTTGCGTTCTTGCCAATTCAACTTGGATTTTCGTGATTTCACTCATAAGCTCAAGCTTTGTGCACTTTGAAAACGAGTATCATGGCGAACTTTTTNTAAGTTGAAGAACTAAACTGAGCAAGTGGTGCGATCATTAATCTGAATATACCATCCATTGCTGCCGAGTGCATTGAAATAAAATAGTACTGCAATCGGCATAAACAACATGGCTTGTCAAGAGCTGCCTATAACCAAATTTTGATTTACATATGAAAGGGTGTGTCTAGAATAACTTTTCTGTAGACATCATAAAGAGTTATATAAAGTACTAGGTCTATGAGAAAACAGTTACAAGGATGCATATTGCTAATTGGTTTTTCCTTTGAAGTGAATTTGAATTGAAGTGAATTTGTATATATTATCCTAGAGTTTCAGAGTAAAATCAGGTGTTTTATATCTTTAACTCTTTTGGATTATATGGTTGCGAATGAGTAAAATCAGGTGTTTTATATCTTTAACTCTTTTGGATTATATGGTTGCGAATGAGTAAAATCAGGTGTTTTATGTCTTCTCTTTTGGATTATATGGTTGCGAATGAGTAAAATCAGGTGTTTTATGTCTTCTCTTTTGGATTATATAGATGCTAATAGCCTAAAAGATTTTTTTACCAGTTTCATAATGGCTGCGATGCATGCATTGCTTAGTTAATACAAATAAAAACCACTCTACTGTTTTATAGTGTTTGGCTTATAATTATACAGTAATGTGAAACAAGTGATGATGTTTGTTAGGTGGTGACTTCGTGCAAGAGGAAGTGGGAACGAACACACTTAGGGAGAGAGAGATGATAGTTTTCTTTTGTAGTCAGAAATATGGACACTTGCGATTGTTTAAGGAACTTGCAAAAGAATAAGGCACCTTTGTTGTGGTGATAGCTTGTTGTTTGGGGGGCTACAATGCACTTCCTTCTTTTATGCCCTTATTTTGCGTTCTTGCCAATTCAACTTGGATTTTCGTGATTTCACTCATAAGCTCAAGCTTTGTGCACTTTGAAAACGAGTATCATGGCGAACTTTTTAGGTTGTTTAGTTGATCTTCAATCAGTAAAGTTGAAGAACTAAACTGAGCAAGTAGTGCGATCATTAATCTGAATATACCATCCATTGCTGCCGAGTGCATTGAAATAAAATAGTACTGCAATCGGCATAAACAACATGGTTTGTCAAGAGCTGCCTATAACCAAATTTTGATTTACATATGAAAGGGTGTGTCTAGAATAACTTTTCTGTAGACATCATAAAGAGCTATATAAAGTACTAGGTCTATGTGAAAACAGTTACAAGGATGCATATTGCTAATTGGTTTTTCCTTTGAAGTGAATTTGAATTGAAGTGAATTTGTAGATATTACCCTGAGTTTCAGAGTAAAATCAGGTGTTTTATATCTTTAACTCTTTTGGATTATATGGTTGCGAATGAGTAAAATCAGGTGTTTTATGTCTTCTCTTTTGGATTATATAGATGCTAATAGCCTAAAAGATTTTTTTACCAGTTTCATAATGGCTGCGATGCATGCATTGCTTAGTTAATACAAATAAAAACCACTCTACTGTTTTATAGTGTTTGGCTTATAATTATACAGTAATGTGAAACAAGTGATGATGTTTGTTAGGTGGTGACTTCGTGCAAGAGGAAGTGGGAACGAACACACTTAGGGAGAGAGAGATGATAGTTTTCTTTTGTAGTCAGAAATATGGACACTTGCGATTGTTTAAGGAACTTGCAAAAGAATAAGGCACCTTTGTTGTGGTGATAGCTTGTTGTTTGGGGGGCTACAATGCACTTCCTTCTTTTATGCCCTTATTTTGCGTTCTTGCCAATTCAACTTGGATTTTCGTGATTTCACTCATAAGCTCAAGCTTTGTGCACTTTGAAAACGAGTATCATGGCGAACTTTTTAGGTTGTTTAGTTGAACTTCAATCAGTAAAGTTGATGAACTAAACTGAGCAAGTAGTGCGATCATTAATCTGAATATACCATTGATTGCTGCTGAGTGCATTGAAATAAAATAGTACTGCAATCGGCATAAACAACATGGTTTGTCAAGAGCTGCCTATAACCAAATTTTGATTTACATATGAAAGGGTGTCTAGAATAACTTTTCTGTAGACATCATAAAGAGCTATATAAAGTACTAGGTCTATGTGAAAACAGTTACAAGGATGCATATTGCTAATTGGTTTTTCCTTTGCATTTCTGTTAGACATAAGACAATTTCTTCACTGTACATCTTTGTATGTTAGCGTAATAAAAAATCTGACTGATTAATTGAGAGTGGGAGAGTTAAGAAGATATATTGTGATCCGAGAACTTCTGATTGCTCTTCTTGCTGAAAGCTAGTTATTGTGGAAATATAAGAGATACAGATTTCTGGATTTTAAAAGGACTTAGCTATATGGAGGTTGAAACTGCAATTAATTTATACCTTTCTACTTTTCTTCTGCTCCCTTATGACCCATAGTTTCTGGATCATTTTGCAGGACGGGCATGATGCAGATAATACAAAACAAAGCACTGCTGATATGACTGTATTTGTAAGTTTTTATGATGAATAATACTCTGGATTTTTCAATTGATGTTAAACACTGAATCTTCACTCCACTATTATTCTGGAAAGGTTTCTAGTCCATCTCAATGTGCTAACCGCTGAGTTACTGAAGTGTGATTCCTTGTTAAAGTTAGATCCCAAGGATTCATTTGGTTCCAATGAATATTTTTGTCAGTATGATCTTTTCATCATCAATGTAATTCTAACATGCTAGCCTGTCCCTTAAAGAACTATCTAAAATAAATGTGGTTCCATGATGTCAGGACAATGACATCTAAGCCAATTTATTTTTTGATTGAGAAAACTTTTTTTGTTATATGCCCTTTACCCACCCAATTTCTTATGTACACCATGAGGATCATAATTATTCATATCTGGATACCAAGGTACCTTATCAACATATTGATGCAATTCTTGCTGGCTGACATATGAGACACTGGGTGCCTGCCATTTATTTATTGGCCTTATATATCGTTGTGTTGTTCACTAGAACTAATGTCATATGTGACATCACAAATAATCACATCCATTTTGCTAGCTAACTTTTCCTTACCTGCTTTCTGCTCTTGCAGGTCCAGAATCTTCTTCAGCAAATGGTGAGCCTGCTCTCTCTGCACCAGTAGGATTCTTCCCTAGTTTTTATCAGATTTATCTTCTAATTGATATTGTTTTCTCTTTGCAGCAAACCAGGTTTCAGACAATGTCTGAATCAATCATCTCAAAAAATATCCTTTTCCTATTTGTTGTCCCTTGTTATCCAGTAACTGATTTGATTCTTGGTCCTAATCTACATTAATTAGTCGCTGCACGGGTGTCATCTAACTAGTGAAGTAGGTCGTACGTAGCATGTCATACAGCTCTTGATTTCAAGAATCCATAAATGTGCCCGTAGTTGTGAGGCTCGAGGGGGTCAACTTTTTCTACTTCAGCTCTGTTTTCTCCTAATTTTTAAGTTAGTATGACTTCTGGTGATCAAAACTGAATTTATCCTTCTTTATAGTTTCAGGAAATTTATGACAGGGATAATTCTCTAGTGACATCAAGATTTGGTCGTATGACTTCTGGTACTCAACCAGAATTTAACCTTCTTTAGTTTCATGAAATTCTATGAAAGGGATATTGCATTAGTAACATTAAGATTTGGTCGTATGACTTCGGTTACTCAACCAGAATTTAGCCTTCTTTAGTTTCATGAAATTTATGAAAGAGATATTGCACTTGATACATCAAGATAGGGTTGCTTATTTCAATGTCTTACTGCAGAAAAGGCAGGTGATGTGTATCAGTGTATAGGTTGGCTTTTGTATCTCACTTTTGGTTTTCTGTTATCTCTTTCGTTTATGGTGAATATTTCTACATGATATAGTGTCCCTGTCAAATTGGTCTAAATAGGTCTGTGTTGATCGTTGTTATCTCTAGTATGTTATATGTTGCATCTACATTTTGTGAGATCAACTTGGACAAAGTCTGTTTAGTCCTTGACAATGCTGCACTTGATGAGATGGGGAACCGGATTGATGAATTGGAGCAGAGCATCAACGATTTGAGAACTGAAATGGGCCAGGAAGGTTCTCCATCGCCTTCGGCCACACTAAAGTCAAAAGATGAACCAAAATCTGCTGAGGATTCTACATAAAGTAACTGACGATACATCGAGGTGGTTTATCAAACAATTGTTTAGCTTTAAAAGAGTGTTATCCTTTTTTGGATGTTATGCCTTTTGGTTTTGATAGCTGCATTCTGTACCTGGATTCTCTGGTTCTGGAAAGAGAGACGTGTGCTATTGGTCATTGATTTGGTTATCAAATTATGCTTTTATGATAGTATGTTAAAGGGTGTATAACGAAGGGTTATATTGTTGAGATTTTAGGCCCTCTTCAAACGAGGGCCAGTTTTCTTGTCAAAGCCCTCTTTTGCTTTAATCTACTGATTATTATCTCTAATAGTTAAACGTAGAGAAGTTATTATTCTTCCGTGAACTAGCTGTCGTTCTTTGTCAACTTCTTCGGAATATCGTCTCTTTCCCTTTTATAATGTGAGTGTGGGTTGAGTAGAGAAAGGTAGAAAGTAGAGTGAATGAGTATCTTATTAGTACTAATAGTTTTGGTGCCATATCCTATTACTCTCTTTAAAAGGACGATGGGATTATATTACTGCGTTTAAGTTGCTGTGAATTTGTATAGAATTTTAGTTCTTAACTTATTGCCATCAAAAGGATCGCAGTTACACAGTAAATATGTGGGTAAAATGTGAGTGCGAAATAGTTATCTTCTTGTTCCTTTGTATAGTTTCACGTAGCATAAAGCAAATTACTGCTACCCCGAGGCTTTGAATAGTTCATGAACCTCTAAAGGGGTGAATTTGGGCAGAGAAAAGTACTTAAATAGAGTGAAGAAAGGGGTGGATTGTGCTCGTTTCTCCTAGTTAGGTGCTGCATTTCTATTAAAATTATTCTTTTTTCTTTCTAATTTTTAACTATATTTGCTACTATTATATAAAAATATTTGGATAAAATGTGAAAATGGAAGAGATGGTTGACAACTGTAGAGAAAAGGATGTGCGAATAAAGGAAGATGCCAAATGGGTGGATCCAAGTTGTAAATGGGATATATAAAAGATGACAATGACAGGATTCACTTGTGTATGTCTTGTCTGTGTAAGGGGGAAAAAAAGAGAGTAACTCGTGAGTCGTTGAAGTTTGAAATTTTGATGAGGATGTGATTACAACACTTGTCGTCTTGTCCCAACAATCAAATTATGACTATACGAGAGTGTCTCTTATTCTTTTCTTTCTCCCCTTTCCCTTCTCTCTTTTAGGTACACACAATTAGATATTTTTAATGCCTTCCTGCATTGATGCTGAATTGCACATTTTCATCATTTATGTTAGTTGAATTATTACTATGTAGATAATCGATTTCTATGTTCTCCCTTACCGTCTCTCTCTCCGTTGAAAACGGAAAACTGATAATTGTGTTGTGGTTGGCTTAATAGGTTAATTATTTCTAGAGTTTAGTAAAGAAATATATACACAATTTGTTCACTTAAAAGATAATTTCACATAATTTTCATTTAAAGATACATAAGGCTCAATGAAATATGAATTCAACAGCCAACATTATGACATTTTAATTCTCTTTCTTTTTTGCAATCTTGCTGTATTTTGAAGTCATTCTTTTTCCTGCAAGTAAGGGAAAGTTCTTTGGATGGAATTAGAAAATTTGAGTAACTGAAGCCTCAGAAAATAATACAGTTTGGTGATGCTAGGATTGCAAATTTTGATTCACACAAGTATTTTTCCTTTCTCTTTCTCATGTTACGAGCTCCTTAACCCCCCCAAATTTTAAAAATGAACATAAAATATTTTAGTTGTATCAAACCTTAAATTAAGGACCAGATAGGTATTAGCCACCTATTGTGGTAAAGGTTCATCCGGGCTCAAGCTTCCACTAAATAAAACAATATAGCACTCCCTTACCCAATTTCTGTGGCCGTGTTTAACTAGCAATAAAAAAAGGAAAAACTTTTGTAACTTATAATCTAAAACAATTTATGTGGTGGTGTTTTACTCGCAATTAAGTTGAAAGAAAAAAAGACTTTTAAAACTTGTGGTTTAAAACTAGTTATAAATATTTCTTTGACCATATCTCAATAAGGATAAAATAAAAAAATTAAAGTTAATTATTTCTAAATAAGAAAATGTAATATTTTTTTGGACAGTAGACGCGTGAACTGGGATAAAGGGAGTAGTGAACTAGATATTTTTAAGTAGGCCAATTATTAGAGAATTAAATGGAAACAGCAGAGCTATTAGTTGTATATTACACATAACACATGTACTGTTCTCACATAACCTCAAAAAAGTACAAACCTAAATGTAAGGCACATTTTCGAACAAGACAGGAATCTTCCAGTAGAAAAAGTACAGTTAGATTTACTTCAAAATTCACTTGCCAAGACAAATTACTTCAACTTAATCATCCAAAAAACAAAAACGAATACCAAGTGCTAAAACATTATTTCAAATAAATATATTAAGTGGAATGATAAATTAATATTACAACATCATACAACAAACTACAAGAATGTTCTCTACCACAATTCCCAAATACAAGTAACAACAAGCCTTACTTTATGCCACAACCCACAAACCATCCTCGATAACAGATCACAATAGTACAAACCTCAAAAAGAATTTTAACTTTTACCAGTGCGCGGTAAAAAAATTTAAATACAGTAAATTTCAAACTTTACTTTTTTTTCAACGGCGGCATCGCGTGATGGCACTGCATCCACGTCGGTAAGGATTCGCCTGCGCTCCGGGACGGCAATTGTAGTACGAAGCACCTCTTCTCGAACACGGAACTCTGTTCCTGCTCAGCGCACCGTAGCTAATGTATCTCCTACGGTACGCTAATATGCGCCGGGTGCTCTCAGACTCCATCGAAAACTCCTCGTCGCTTCCGTTTTCGGCCAAGAACTCACCGATCGAACCCTCATAGATCGATGAAGCCGATGACGTCATGGACAGCGTCATTGGATAAAAGCCGAGCTCGTGGGCTCCAGTAGCTGCTGCCGCTGCCGCTCCGATGAGGAAAATCGAAGAGATCAACAGAATGGTGAAAGAGTTCACTTTCACCATCGCCATTTTTGTGGGTTTTGGGATTTTCTGAGAAAATGAGGAATTTTCTAGAGAAAGTTTTGTTTCTTTGATGGAAAAAGTTAGGGAGAAAAATATATAAAGAAGTAATAAGTTGAAAACGAGAAATAAAGGAGTGGGCTATATTTATAAGTGGGGATAAGGATTTTAAAAAAAAAGACCTTTCAGATTGGGAATAATAACGAGAGTGCCATCTGATTTTTGTCATTTTGCTTCTAAATAATGCAAAGGCTAAATTTAGTGTAGGAGGAATAATAATGATAGTGGAAGTTATGATGGTACAAGGGACGGCTATAAAACTGAGTTTTTCTTCTTCCTTTGTTTATTTGTTAATCTGGATTCTTTCCTAAGGGTGTTATATATATATATATATATATATATATATATATATATATTTTTTTTTAAATTTCTCCCAAATTATGTGGATCTACAGTGTTTTCACACTTTTCCTCCAGTGTGACTTAACGGTCGTGGGTGTTATGTAGTTGACATATGTACAACAACATAGATATATAGATATTCTTATAATTGTTCTAATCAAAACAAACTATGAGCCCATTTGGACATAAGAATTTTTTCACTTTTTTTTGAAATGAGTGTTTGGCCATAAAATTTTCAATTTTCACTTGAAGATGAATTTTGAAATTTTTCGAAAATTTTAAAAATACCAAAAAGTTATTTTTCAAAATTTTTACTCAGATCACTTACAAAAATTCAAAAACAGCCCAAAATTATATTCATACCAAAACACAATTCTAATTTTCAAATACTATTTTCACTTCAAAAAAAAAAAATCACTTCTTTTTGGAATTTTACAATTCTTATGACCAAACGCCCACTATAATTATAATTGATATGAGTTGTGAATAAAACTGTGGTAGTAGTTGTTATATTGACATTGTTGGTATATAAGTTAAAACAACTCGAAATGTTATGTAAAGTGTAAGAAGAAAAGGTTGCTAATTGCTACTAAAAACTTAACAAAAACAAAATTGAAAGATAGATTTAAAAATCTCTTTTATATGTTTGGTTGAGAATTGGAAAGCTACTCCATCTGTTTCAATTTAAATGACATATTTTTTTTATTAGTTCGTTTAAAAAAAAATGACTCATTTCTATATTTAGAAACAATTTAACTTTAAACTTCTTTATTTTACTCTTACTCTTGATGATAAACTTTTATAGCTACAAAAGTGTCATAACCACATAAAACTTTTGTCCTTTAAACTTTTAGGACCAAATATTTCAAAAGTTTTTTTTTTTTCCATTAAACTATGTGTCAAGACAAACTACATCAGCTAAATTGAAACGGAAAGAATATTTGCTTGCTATGAAATCTCTTGACCTAACTCATCTCCATTCTTTCGTGATGTTTTGATGAGTTAATAACTACTATCCACTGGGTATTCCATCTGCTGAAACTATCACTTTTGATGTTAATTGACTTTGAATCAAATAGCAATTTGAAGAATATGCTTAAACATGAAGGAAGTACGACTTAGGGAAAAAAAAGTCGAGTAACATGTTCAGGTGATCATTTCGACTTACCTATTTCGAGGAGTAGGGCATTAGCAAAATTCTAGACCATTATATTATTTTAAATTACATACTTACAAAACAGATAAAGTATGTGACTTGTCTTTTTATTATGTGTCTCGCTAGTATCAGATGAATATGTGTTATACACCTATTATTCATATCGGACAATGAATATCTATCACCGTTGATAAAAACTTAAAGATCGAAACATTTGTTTGTACATATAATAGACCTTTAGTACTCAATCATAGTTAAGTAATATACGCCTTATTAATCACTTAACTATAATGAATTTATATAGTATAAATTCACGATGCGCGTAAGTATCTACTTGTAATCAACTACCCCATAGTTATGGCTAGACAATATAAGGAGCGGCAACACAACAATAACTGAATAATAATTCAGTATAATTTCACAAAGGAAAGTTTGGAGAGAGTAGAGTGTACGAGACCTTACTCTTATACTGTAAAGGTAAAAATGTTGTTTTCGATAGACTCTCGGTTTAAGAAAAAATAAAAAAACATAAATAACAAGCAGTAACAACAACAAAATAAGATGATAAAATAATTGAAAGAGTCGCAATATGATAACTTGGGGTGTACATGGATCGGATTGATTCGGTTTTTATCAAAACCAAACCAAACCAACTATATCGGTTTGGATTGGTTCGGTTTTATCGGATTTTCGAGTTTTTTTGTTACTTAAATATTATTTCAATCT